TGAAAAAATGGGAATTTGACCGATTTGACCTAAAAATGTTTTAGGTTTGCTCAAATGACCCAAATTCAGATTTTTCACTTATATGACCTAATTTCTCTTTTTCTGACACATCAACGTCCGTGAAATGACGAAACTGCCCTTGCTTTATATGAAAAAAATGGACACATCTATTCTTAAAAAACTAGACCGAGATCGCACAAAACTCGACGGAGTTTTTACAAAATTCCCCATAATTTTACTAACCGTTGGTCTTCGATTTCCCCTTTCTTCTTCCCTTCTTCTTTCTTCTTTCCTCTTTTTCCCTCTTTCTTATTTCTCGTATTTCCTCTTCTTTGGTTGAACGAGTACCATCCAGTCTTCCTCCTTCATCGAAAGTGATCTCAAACAAACTGAAAGGTTAGTATTTGGGATACTTGTAGTCTTTATACTTTCTTCATCGAGTTTTGGTCATTGATAATAGAGCTGTTTTCAAACGATTTTATTTTGATTGTGTTCTGTTAAAGTTGATTGTTGAGGTCCTGTGTCTAAATATTTTCTGTTAAATGTGGAAAAAATAAAAGAAGTGTATGGGTTTTCTGAACTAGGAAGGAATCTGGGTTTTCGTTCCATCCCAGTAGAGTTTTGATGAATCCCTATCGAGTTCTTCAAATTTTTTCGAGAAAAGTATGTTTGCAAACTCCGAACTAGGGGATCTGAAATTAGGTTCCATTTAGAACATAGGTAGGGGGATTTCAGATTAGGGTTCTATTTACAAGTTTCAAACTATGATCTAATGTAGGGGAGTTCAAATTAGGGTTTAGTTAGGGCGATTTTCATATGGGTTTTTCAAATTAGGGTTGAAGGTGAAAAAAGCCCCAATTTTATCTATCCATCTCGACGGAGTTTTTACACGAGATTTTTTTCAAAGGCTTCGAACTCGAGAGTGTTTTCTAAAGAATGAAGCTCACTGGAAATTTTTCCCGTTACGAACTCCCTCGGGATTCAAAGAGAGAAATTGAAAAATTTTTCAGTTTAAACTCAAAAACTCTGGGGAGTTCCTTCAAGTTTAAGCGCTGACTTGGTTAAATCTTGGTTGCAAACTCCCTCGAGATTTTGAGATAAAATTTGAAAAATTGTTCCTTTTTCGTTAAAACTCTACGGAGTTCCTTCGTGTAAGCTCACTCAATTGGTTAAATCCTGGTCGCGAACTCCCTCGGGATTTTGAGAGAAAAATTGGAAAATTGTTCATTTTTGGTTAAAACTCTGGGGAGTCTTCAAGTTTAAGCTCAGTCACTTGGTTAAATACTGGTCGCGAACTCCCTTGGGATTTTGAAGAGAAAATTTGAAAAACTATTCATTTTTTGTTAAAACTCTGAGGAGTTCCTTCATGTTTAAGCTCACTCACTTGGTTAAATCCTGGTCGCGAACTCCCTCGGGATTTTGAGAGAAAATTTTGAAAATTTGTTAAAACCTTGTTAAAACTCGAGCATAAACTCCCTCGAGATGCGTGGGGAAATTTTCCAGATTGTTATATTTCTATCATCTGCTTATTTGTTTCTGGTCCTATATTATAACCAAATTTTCCAAATTGTTAAAACCTTGTTAAAACTCGAGCATAAAATCCTGGTCCTATATGTTATATTTTCATCATCTGCTTATTTGTTTCATTGTGTTGTGCATTTATAGGATATGGAGATGGTACCGAAGATTCCTCCTGGTAGGTATGCTAGTGCCCAATTGAACTACTTGTCTCACATAGGGACAACGGTCAAGCTTATCAAAAAGAAGCTTAGCCATCGTCAACTTAACATGTTTAGGAAAACATGTTTTGGGCACTTCCTCGATGTCAAGATTACCTTCAATGGTCCATTGATTCACCATCTGTTGTTGAGGGAGGTTGAGGACAAAAGACCGGACGTGGTCAGCGTGGACCTCTTCGGCAATAAGTGCACATTCGGCCGGGAGGAATTTGACATTATAACTGGACTGAAGTACGGGAGGAGGACAGATCGGAAAGGTGGGCACCCTGCAAGGTTACGATCTCTATATTTTCAGGATAGCGTAGACCTCACGATAGGTGAATTTGAAGCGATGTACGAGGTAGCACAATTTGAAAACGACGATGATGCTGTCAAAGTTAGTATGGTCTACTTCATGGAGCTTGCACTTATGGGGAGAGAGAAGCGGCAACTGGTGGACACCAACTATTTCGGAGTTGTAGATGACTGGGAGTCATGTTGCAACTACGATTGGGGCACTGATGTCTTTAGAAAGACCATGAAAAGCCTACGTCGTGGCTTGTATATAAAGAAGAAGGGGAAAGAGAGCAAGTTAAAGCCTTCGTATAGTCTATATGGGTATCCATATGCATTTCAGGTATGTATTATAAAATATTTAATGAAGTTCGTATAGTGTTGTATTAGAAATAAGTTTTAATTGGTTATTGATTAGGTTTGGGCGTACGAGTGCATATCATCACTGAGTGGACGCGTTGCCAGTCTTAGCAAGAGTGACGCAATCCCGCGCATTCTRAGATGGTCGTGCTCACATTCGACTGCATATAACGTTCTTGAGAGCGATATATTCCGATCTTCAACTGTACGTTAATATTATTTATTATATAAGTTAATTTGTGGTTGAACTTGCATGACATGTGAATGTATTTTCTTATGCAGGCGAGAGTCACTGTACAGCTACATGCGTCCGATGAAGAGAAGGCTTTCATGAAAAGAGTTATCGAACGACCAATAGCTGACGCAGAGCCTGTTCCTGAAGTGGATAAGCTTGTTCCTGAAGTGGATAAGTCTGTTCCTGTTGAGGATGCAGAAAAGGGCAGACCGAAATAACTCTTGAAGGTCTTCATCAGCAAGTTGCAAGAATGGACAGGCGTTTAGATGGGATGGAAGATGACCTGAAGGCGATTAGGAAGTACCTGCGGCATCTTTCTAAGGTATTTGTTTGATTCAAGTTATACTACTTTTACACGTGAAGTTATAATGGGTTGTATTGAACGTGACAAGGTGAGGCCGTTGATCCTAACGAGCTTAAGAAATCGCAACGAAATGTGCATCTGGAATCTGCAGAATTGGAACAGAACGATTTGGAGGTAATAACATTGTTTTTTTAGTTATTGTTATGTAATAGTTTCATAGATGTATAGTATAAAGTCGAAACCTTGCAGGACGTTATCGATGCGACACCGAAAAAGGTTGGGAAATCACCTCATTCAGTTGTCAAATCTGGACCAACCACCGTCGAGGTCGTGGCTCCAAAGGATCCCCTGCCCGATGCCCGTACTAGTGATAGGGACCCGGACGCATGTACAGAACGAGATGTGCCGCCCATCGATGTTCAGGATCCCATACTGGACGCAGGTACTAGTGAGGTGGCGGCCGCAGACAATTTTCTTGCATCGCAACCCGACGATAAGGACCCGCCTATTGACACGGTCACCGCTGATATCGTTTCTTCGAAGGTGTGTATACTAAGTCATATGTTATGGCCCACGTTTGCATGTACTAACCCTCTGAATTGTTTCAGGATCCATCGATTGACGTGCACTCGCAAGCGGAGTTGGTGGTAGCTTGTAGTGAGTCTGAGGACTCACGAGCTGATTTTCATACTCCGGAAGTGTAAATCGCGGAGCACGGTATACGCCAATCGGCAGAAGTCATGGTTCGTCGACCTATTGACTCCCCAGAAATGGTTATCCGGCGATATATGTGGTTCTTAAAGATTAAATATCATTCGGTGTTTAGTTCCATTATTTAATTTTCATATGATATGTTACATATATGTGTAGGTTATCGATACACTCTTCATGTTCACGAGCAAGAAGCTCGCGCAGCGGATGGACCTGTGTGCTCGAAAATTTACCACCGACGACGTACTCTTTACGGTATGTAGACAAACTTGTACATACTTAATTGCAAAGATGAATAGTTGGTAACCATGTCTCATCTGGCTACAGGATTTCCTTCTAAGGACGGACGGTCCATTTTAAGAACTTCAGACACCTTTTTCCGTGGCGACAAGAATGAAGTACGATTGGGAGCTAAACGCGAAGTCTATATTGAGCTACGTATACGGAACACACTCCGACTATGACCATGCATGGAAAGACGTGGACGCAGTCTACATGCCAATGAACATTGGAGGAAACCACTGGATTATGGTTTGTGTCGATTTCGAGGAGGGTGAATTGGTCGTGTGGGATTCCCTCCTGTCATTAACGTCGGACGTCGAGTTAGAAGCGGCGTTGAAACCCATGCGGACAGTTTTACCAGCATTACTGCATCACTGCGGGATGATGTCTGTTCGCCCGAGTCTCTCAATCATGCTGTGGCGCGCTCGGCGGGTGGTGTCAGCACCCCAACAGGAAGGTGATGGGGATTGTGGTATATTTGCTGTAAAATTTTTTGAATACGATGTAACGGGTTCTAATACAAGAACCCTAACTCAGGATAGAATGTTATTATTTAGGAGGCAGTTCGCAGTCCAAATATGGGCGAACATACCGGTATTTTGATTACCTCAAGTTATTGAACTTTTTTTCTTTCGATATTTTGTGCGTTGTATTTTTATTCGGAAATTGACATTCGTTTGTTATGAACGTTTTTTGTATTGGTCATTTTTTTGTATACAAGTAGCTGGCTGAAATCCCAAGCGAGATATTATAAATCCCTATCTAAATATTTTACTGACTTTGAATATATACACACTGGTCAAAATCTCCCCCGAGTTTGTTTCCAGAACATTAGAGGACACAACCGCCTAAACCTCCCCGAGTTTCAACCGATCTCCCCCGAGTTTTTTCCGGACCATGCATTTTTTGACTCAAAGCATTCAGAAGTGATTTGAATAATACTAAGAAATAATGTAAAGAAACTTAGGAAAGTATTCAATAACTTTAAGAAACTTGAGTTTCAAATGTCTGAGCTTACAAAAATCACGTAAAAAATGGACGCGTATATCTAAGTATCCGAAGTTCTAAGCGGCTGTCGACATGTTTTTCTGTTATGTCAAGTGTTTCCACAACGACCGCATTTGTRGACTTGGCGAGTCTCTCCAGCCGAAGGTATACGTACGGTCTGTCTTCTCCCTAGTCGCTGTACTATCTTCGGTGGCTCAACGTTTCGGTGGACGAAATTATCAGGTAAAACCCAATCTTCCTCGTCCCCGAGAGGATACACAKATTCGGCATACGCGTTAATTAGTGTTTGGAGGCTGTATGCAGGCGAGCATAGAGAATACCTGTTGACATTCTGAAACGTTTCCGCAGCAATAGCATGCGAACATGGAAGCTCGTAGAAGTCAAACTCTTTGCATCCACAGGTTCTAGCATTTAAATTCACACGATACCTTTTCAATCCATCGTGTACTTCCAGCTCGTGTAGATCAATGGGTGTGATGGAGTAAATTCTAGAGAGGTTCTCTGCGGCCCGCATCTTTGCCTCTCCGTAGTCAGTTAGAATTGTCTCTCTGCTAGATGCATAAGTTCGCCTCTCRTAAAACCATCGTTGAACGAGAGCGCACGCCTGTTCAAGAAGCGCGGTAACTGGCAAAGCACGTGCATGGGAGAGGACTGCATTTATTGACTCTGCGTTATTGGATGTCATTTGGTCGTACCTCAATTTCGGCTGAAATGCACGTGTCCATTTCTCAAAACCGATTCCTTCTAAGTACCTCTGAACGTCTGGGAAGCCTGCCAGTTGTGAAAAGTAGTACCTAAAAACGGATTTCTGAAATGCCTTAGCTGCCAAAATGAACATTCCTTGTATGTCATCGTTCTTGAACTTGTCCTTCAGGTTCATRGACAAGTGATGCATGCAAATCCCATGTGCAGCCTCTGGAAACACCTCTCGGACCGATTTCGTAATGGAAACGTGTCGGTCTGATACGAACAGTAACCCATCCACCTCTCCTATACAATGTTTCAACCTCTCCAAAAACCAGGACCATGATGCATYGCTTTCTATATCGACAATTCCAAAAGCTATGGGATAGATCTGATTATTACCATCAACAGAAGAAGCAGTAAGGATAACCCCTTTGTATTTCCCCTTCAAATGTGCACCATCTATCACAAGTACTGGGCGGATGCAACTAGAGAACCCCCTAATACAACAACCCAGCGCCATGAATGCGTACTTGAAATACTTGTCTTCCTCCAATTCCATTTCAAAGATCGTACCAGTGTTCACAACTTTTAATGCCTCCTCATACCTACGTAAACAATTATATGATTCTTTTGGTGATCCCACCAATATATTCAATGCGACTTCCTTCGCACGCCATGCCTTTTCATACCTAATATTGACCCCATATTGCTTTCGCATGTCAGTCATTATATCTTTCGGTCTGTACAGTCTACTTACATCCTCCAAATTTGCCTTTAGTAACTGACCAACCACCCAGCTTCTTGCTTGTCTATGATCATGGTTGAGTACCTCCTGTGTGCAGTTGTGGACATCGGTATACTTCGAAATGGTGAACGAATCAGCACCTCTGATCCTATTCGCATGCAACCCCCATTTGCAACCTACTTCAATACATCCAACTATGTACAAAGTCTTCGTAGACTTCTTTACACGAAATTCAAAATTAAGCTTCATTGCCAACACCAACAATTTGAAGCGGAGCTCATCCTTTGAGCGAAAAATACCCCCAACGACGATGTCACCGACACAATCTTTGGCATCTGTAGATGTGATATTCTGCGTTGAACAACGAGGCAATTCCTGAACAGTATGAGTACATGCATTCGCACTTACTGATTGCACCTCGAAGACAGGCTCACCTTCATTACCAGGTTGATCGGATCCATTATCGGGTTGATCATTAATCTCATCATCGTTGCCATTATCATGCCCATGTTCACCCTCAAACTCAGATTCCGCTTGATCATCCTCATCCTCAACCCCATGCATAACGTCGTCTTCATGAAGATCATACTCCTCATTTCGAATATCATACTCAACCTCATTCTCGTACAATTCATCGTAATAAGGTGGATCATCATCGCTTAGGTTGCACGGGACCATGTTGTCGGTCAAGGGAGTTATCTGTGGGAATAAGGGGGTGGGGGGGAATCAATAGAAGTTGAAGGGCCAAGAGATGTGATCTTTTGACTTGGATAGTATCGAAATGAGGACGAATCTCCTGGTTTGCTCCCACTACCGTATATTTTCTTCGATAAGACAGATACATATAACAGCACTTGAGAAGGGTCTGGAGGGCCAGTCAAATAGAATCTTAGGCTACTATCATCAAAGATAAAGTACTTTGGAACTTCGTATTGCATTTCAAATTTATACATGCATTCTATAACAATATTAAACTTGTCAGGATCAACCCTCGTGAGCCTATGCAAGGCATTTACCAGGTCAGTATATGTTATCGTTTCATCAACGTCCAACCCTCCCATAACGCCACCTTCGTACACAGTTCCTACCTCGTTCCACTTACCCCCGTATATTACAAATAGGCGATGCATTCTGCAAGAAAAATATAGAATATCTCTAGTTAATAATAGGTTCAGAAATAAGTCTCAACTAGGATCTAATAAAACTCTACCGCGAAATTTTTCTTAAACTCGGTGAAGTTCGTACCAAACTCCCTCGAGTTTCAACAACTCTACAGGGATATACCAAAACTCGACCAGGAAATTTTTGTTCCAAAACTCGGCTGGGTTTCTTCGCAACTCCCTCGGGATTCCACAAATTTACAAAACTCAGCTGGGTTTCTACGCAACTCCCTCGAAATTCACACAACTCCATCGAGTTTCTTATGTAACTCACCCGAGATTAACCAAACTACATTATAAATACAACTCGTTCTCTTACTCTCAACGGATCAAAAACCAGCAAACAATGTTTTTAAACTTAAAAAGAAAGGGAAAATGATGCCTTTACACTTAGAAAATATAACTTATACTCTGAAAACAAAAAAACTAACCTGATCGTTTGAAGATGACGAAAGGCACGTCCAAACAATGGATATTTCCGGGGTTAAAAAAAACAATGGATCTTGCACGAAAGGCACGTTTCAAACACTGAAAGTAATTGTTTTCTGCAGATGAAGAGAAGTACAAAAAAGAACTGATCCATTTCGAATGAAATTAATTGCATTAATGATCGTACAAGAGGTTGGTGACTAATAAAATCTAGGTTTGTGAAATATATTAAAAACTCCGTCGAGTTCTATGCGATCTCCGTCGAGTTTTTTAGAGCTATACATTGTCAGGTTTTTTATATAAAGCAGGGGCAGTTTCGTCATTTCACGGACCTTGATGTGTCAGAAAAAGAGGAATTGGGTCATATAAGTGAAAAATCTGAATTTGGGTCATTTTAACAAACCTAAAACATTTTTAGGTCAAATCGGTCAAATTTCCTGAAAAAATTGTAATCATATTCATTTCTTACCGCCTCATAATCTCATCCTCATTTTTTATTTCGTCCGTCTCACACCTTAATAATAATTATTTTACAATTTTTATTCATTTCTCTATCGTCCACTGACGAGATTCATAACTTTTTAATTAATTGTTTTACACTTTTATTATTATTTTATTTCTACCATTAATAATTTTTCTTCTAGTAAAAATTTATACAACTTTTATGACTTGATGTTATATTATAAAATATTATAAAATTCTATTTAATTTTTAAATTTTTTTTCTTATTATTAATTAATATCAATATTTTTTTAAAAATATATTCAATTATTATTAATTATTTGAATGATAAAATTTATATTTTATGTTTAGCGATAGTTATTCTAATAAAAAATGATTTCAGTTGATGTAATTTATTTTAATTATTTATTACTTGTTAAAATTAAATAAATTGTTATAATAGCAAATATTTACTAGTAATAAAATAAATTAAAATTTATTATCATTTTAATTGAAAAAAGATTAACATAATGTATTTGTAATTAATTAGAAATAAGAAAATGATATATATATATATATTTATTTATATTCCAATTCTAAATAGTTTGTAAATAACATACATGATTTCTGATTTTGATTCTAAAAAATTTCTACTAAACAAGGAAATCTCAATTAATTTTATTCTAATTAATTGTAAGTAAACAACACCTAAATTGGTTATCTAATTAATAGACTTTTAAAAGTAAAGTTCAAAAAGAATAAGGTATAATATTTGAAAGTTAATAATTCAAGATAAAATATTTTAGCCAACTTTTCTGTCTTATTTTAAGTTAATAAAATATTCTTTTCTTAATTTACTTTTTTGTCTTCTTGTCTCGTATTTGAATTTTTTTCTTTGATCATTCATCTGTGAGATCCTCTATTTTTTATTTAATATATTTACCTTTGTAAAAAAATATTTTAACCAACTTGGACCTCTCAACCAGTTAAAACATGTACGTTCGAATTCTCATCCTACATGCGTTGTACTAAAACTTCAAAAGAATAAGTGAAGATATCTTAACTGCTGAGCTATTGCTCATTGTTTCCACCGAGCTCACAGGTCGGGTCACGAGTTAACGAGGACGAACTCCGATGTGCGAGGAAACCTGCACAAGGAACAAACACTCCGACGCCAAAATTAGTGTGAACTCAAGCTGTACTAAGTCGTTCTTGGAGGAATTGCGTACCTGAATTGTGGGGTGGATGTTCCTTTTATAGGCAGGCGGGGGAGACAAAGTCGTTGGAGCCGTTCCGATTAGCGGTTACAACTGTCGGGCACCCGGGTCGGTAGTCGGGTTCCTCAGGTCGGTTGATATGGACAACACCTCAGCTCGTTCGCGGTCAAGTCAACAGGTACGGAGGATCGGTTTTTTGCCTTTTGATGACTCCAAAGTGAGTAGGTGTTTACACGTGTCGATTATGATTTTGACCACCAACATTCATGTTGACAATATATTATTAAATTATTACTTTATTAATATATTTATCTTGTAGACGCTCCTTAGAAGAAATAGTTGAAGGACGAAGTTGGATTTCGCTAGTCAAGTCGACTTAACGTGACACATATTCAAATACATTAATAAAATTATAATTTAATAATATTTTCTTTTTTGAGTACAAGTTGATAATTTAATAATCTACCAACTTATTGTTAGCAAATTCTAACTTCTTTTTTTTTTAATAGAAGGAACTAATTTAGTCTGTAAAATTGAGGAAGAAAAAGATCAAAGACTATTTTGTAAAATTTGCCAATAATTTACAGAGTCGTTGGGTTGGCTCCCGTTTATCATTCCTCGCTCGTTTCTTCTTTTTCCTCTTCGAAAGTTCTCCTCTTCCTCCCTCGTTTTGGGCAACAGATGATATAGTTTTCCCGAGGAAAAAACAAAGAAAAGAAAAAGAAAGAAAAAAAAAAAACCCATCAATGAAAACCCATCAATGATAATGCGCGGACCCGCAGCGGTGGTGAAAGCACCTGCAAAATCCCGACGATTCATTGATGGTCTCCGCCCAAATAAACAATCATCACTTTTTGTTCGGATTCCAAATCCGAGGAGGATTTTGGCGCAGCGCAGCTCCGGGCCTCGTGGGGTGGAGGTTGTTTTTTTCCCCCTTCTACGTTTCTATTTTTGTTTTTTTCTTTGTATCGATTTTTCCAGTTTTGAGCCACGCCCTGAATTTATTACTCGAATTCATCGTCTGTTTCTGCGATTGGGCTTGGAATTCTCAATTGGGGAGATGGGTTTTTTGTTTTTGTTTTATTCTTTAGATTTTCTTCTGTCGTTTATTTTCTCTTTGGTTCCCGTGGGGGCGTCCCTAAGGTTTCGTGCAGTTCTTGTTTCATTCTTGAACGCCAATTATTTTTAATATGAGAATGGATTTTGTGGAACTCGCTTGGAAATTCATAAAAGGGTAGGAACCTGTTTCTGCAATTGGCTGCCTGGTCTGGTTTCTTTTCGATTTCAAGCCACTTTTAAGGGCTTTCTGGTGGGTAAAGTTTAGTTTTAATAAAATATTTTTTAGAATCTGACAGAACTAGAGTTTTTTTTTTTTTTTATTGGCATCTGAGTCTCTGAAATGATGCCTGTCTGTTTTACCATGTTGGTCTTCCATGATTCTGATGAGCTAATGATTTCATTTGGTGATTTGATTTATCTCTATAATTTTCATCATACATTTTTCCATACTCTGTTGTGGAAGAGAAAGAGCATTCGATATGAACTGCAACTTTTTGTAAGACCATGATGTGTTATTTTTTCCTTTTCTATTGAAGATAATGCCGTTGTACATTTTTCCATCCAGCTTTATTACTTCTTTTCTATTTTTCATCCAACAACTAAATAATTTAGTTAAATTACTGTTGGATGTTTCCTTTTGTGTTCATGATTGTACATCTTTGTACTCGCTAAACTTTTATTATAATAGGTCTTGTATGCTTTTTCTTGTTTATTCTTTCTAGGAGGAGAGTTAAAAAAAAATCGTGTAGAGGGGCAAAATTTTACCTCGTAACTTCTTCTTTATATATACTCTTTCAATTCTAAAAATTAAAGTGGGGGGAAGTTAGAAAAAAGACTTCAAAATCTCGATTTGTTTAATGTATTTTCTGAACCCAATATTTCCACTCCTTTGTTCTTAGCTCCACCCTGATTCTTTCATTATTCAGAAAAATAATGATTCAGGTGATGGTGGCAGTTGGGGGTAGGGGGCGACAACGGAAGATTTTTTATTTTTTATTTTTTAGTTTTTAATGTAGATGGAGAACCCCAGAGGCTGAGCCATAGTGTGGAGCTCTTTGTGTTATTTGGGATTTTGGTTATTGCTTCGGATGTGTAAGGAATCTAGACTTTCTATTTAGCTCATCTCGAATTACAAATCCAGAGTTTGTCAAACTAAAAAGATTCAAAGCTAGATCTTTCAGTATTTTGGAGCTCTTTTTCCCATAAAAGCCTGCATGAAATGTTTGGTTTATAGTTTTGATAAGCAAGTTTGGGGTGGGAAGTCTGATTTTTTATACTCTATGCTTGGATTGTACAAATGAATGGGTTGTAAAAACCTGAGTTCGGAGTGTGGTTTGTAAATTTATGATTCATAGTTCTAGTTCATATATAGCATAAAAGGTGAGTTTCAATACCTGAGTTTGTTTAGCCCGTGGGATCAGCAAACTTGTAGCTTGAAATAAGCAAACCCAAGCATCAACATAGGCTTGACTTCTGAACTCAGGTATACAACCCTAACCATGAACCAAACACCCCTTGATGGTTAGAAAGGCACCTAATAATGGTCTGCAAGTGTTATTAGATAGGAATGGACTTCAGGTTATGTTAGTATCCTAATCTATGGCATAAATGTCATCATTTTCCAGTTCAGATTTCAATAAATGAGGGAATTCTATGAATGAATCTCCAAATAATCACGAAACATGCGACCGGATATGCTTACTGACATGCACATGCCCTATCCATTTTTTGTCTGGTTCAACAGGATAGAACTCATTGATCGGTGATGATCGGAATATGGTGAAGAGTTTCCATTAATAGCTCGAAGAATTCTATTAAATCTAAGTAAAGCCATGGCTCCTGGAACCAGTGCTTGCAAAGAAGTTGTTGATTCTCATCCTTCAGTTTCAGGTCATGACATAGCAGTATCTAAATCAGAGAGTAATTCTAATTCTAATTCTAATTCTAATTCTGCATCGACGAAAGTTCTACTTGGCTTGGGTGGGAAACTTGGAGTTTATTCAACCAATGGAGTGCAGGAATTGCTTGAGTGCCCTGTCTGCACAAATCTGATGTACCCTCCAATTTACCAGGTATGCGCTTTATTCCCTGTTTTTCTATTTTACTGTATTCCCATTCAAATAGTGGGATGTCTGTTGAAAAAAAATATTTTTAAGTGAAGTATCGATTTTGTTAACACTCTTGGAAGAAAAATAATTAGATGCTTTGTCGGAAAGCACTTCAAGTGTTTCTTTTAATCTATTTTTACCAAAATACTTTTGATTTCAATTGGTCAAAAGTACTTTTTGAAATTCTGACCAAACACTACCAATTTTAAAAAGAACACTTTTAGTCCTTTATAAGCACTTTAAAAGGCATGACAATACACACATTATGTTTTGAGTAACATACTGATAAAAAACATGTTTGAGCGTAATATAAAACAAAGTCAAAATCTCTCTTAAAGACTCTGTGAGAAAATATTTGTAGAGTATTTTTGGCTCAAGTGCTTGACTAGGAAGCACTTTGAAAGCACTCCTAAAATTGTAGAACCAAATATTAAAATGATTTGTTATCCCACATTTTAGTCCGCTTGTAAGTTGTAACTAAAATTTGTTACACTCATGTACTATAAAAATACTCTCAAACACACTGTTAAATTGATTTTGTAAGCTTAAGCGATTCGGTTATGGGTCACAAGGCATGTGTGATTAATAGTGTCGATGTGCTTTTGCAAATTACCATTCCATTTGTAGAGCAGCTTTCATATTGTGCGCAGTGTTCTTTAGAGCCATTTCAGTGCTTGGGCCCAATAGATGAAAGTTGCTGTTCATTTCTTAAGGTTGAATGGAGTGTGCAGAATTTTGTTAAGAATCTTCATAACTTGCTGGTTTCATTCTTTTCCAGAATTTTTTAGAACGTTTCCAGAGTGCATGCATATTGGAATGGGTATTTACCTTCCTATGAGCTTATTTAAGCAATAAATATTGTATTCTAAAGTTTGACCATATTCGCATTTTCTACTTCTAGTTTCTCACTTTAGTCTAGGCAATGTGTATGATGTAAGACACAAACACTCCACACATGAACACTCTAACACTTGTTAAGTTCAATATACACCTCACATGAACACTCTAACGCTTGTTAAGTTCAATATACACCTGTCAAACACTAGTTGGAAAAATTGAACTGAAGTACGATAGTCGTTGGACCCACATTAAACCCTCGTTAAGCATAGTAAACATGTGTCAGGCCAAACATTATTGGACTCATAAACTAAACAGTTCAAAATTTTATTTATTTGTTTATTTACTTTTAAAAAAATAGTCACCAATAGAAATATTGGACAAAAATTAAATTTTGAGAGGAAAAACATATATATATATTTTTCTGAAGCATATAAATGTAATCCTTGTTTACTTGAATTACCATAAGAATAAGAATCATTAGTTGTGTTAGTTATTTGTGATGCATCTTATTTTGTTGAGAAGATAAACTATTGATTTCTGCAGTTTTAGAGGCACAGACAATGAATTTTAATGGCCTAATAGCTTGTTTGTTGATTTATTCTTCATTGGAAGGTTGATTTGGACGCTGTACTCTGGCAAATTTTCCCTCTTGCTTGTTCTTAACATTTTTTTGTCAATATAAAATTAAATTTACTCTGAAAACTTAAGAACACCTCCTTATTCTTAACTCTTTATGTCATGGAGGAATGAAATGTTTTTCTGCTTTTGCTTTGTACTGGACTTGCTTGACCGACTTTCAAACTTTAGTGCCCGAATGGCCACACATTGTGTTCAAACTGCAAGATCAGAGTTAGCAACTGTTGCCCGACCTGTCGTCATGAGCTTGGCAATATAAGGTGCTTGGCGTTGGAGAAGGTAGCTGAATCATTAGAGATCCCCTGCAGATACCACAGTTTGGGTTGTCTAGATATTTTTCCTTACTATAGTAAGCTGAAGCACGAGCAGCACTGTCGATTCCGTCCTTACAATTGCCCTTATGCTGGATCCGAGTGCTCGGTCTCAGGTGATATCCCGTCTCTTGTTACGCATCTCAAAGATGATCATAAGGTTGACATGCATGATGGGTGTACCTTCAATCATCGCTATGTGAAATCAAATCCACACGAAGTCGAAAATGCCACATGGATGCTAACGGTAGGTGCCCGCCCTATATAACATTAATATACTATCTCACCTGATGATTTTACATAACATTAATTTATTTTATTGCACAATTTAAACCTAATTCATAGTGATGACTGATGGCTACCGCTGCACCCATGAATTAATGAATTTTAAGAAGGGTTGTTTTAAGATGTTTTAACTATGACTAGAGACCTTTTTAGATAGAGGAATATGTTGGAGAGACTTTTCTTAGAAAGAAGTGTGTGAGAGAGGGTGACATTTTAGAGAAAATGTTTAGATAGAAAAGTGGTAGAGAGAGAAAGATACTTTATTTTAGAGATAGGAGTGTAGTAGAGAGAATATTTTAGTGTGTGGTTAAATGGCCTAATTTTTTAACTTAAGCAAGTTTGAAGGTTAGGTTTAATTTTTATAATTAGAAATTTGTAGGTGCAGTAACAACTACTATTGTTGCTATAGTTCATGGATGGCTTGTGAAATTTATATTACGTTTTTTTTTTTTTTTAATTTCTAGATGAAGATGTGATAAACCTGGTTTTCTTCCATCTTTGAACGTTAGAATGTTGTTTTATACCTTGCACTCGCAGGTTTTCAACTGTTTTGGGAGGCAATTCTGCTTGCATTTCGAGGCGTTCCAGCTTGGAATGGCACCTGTTTACATGGCATTCCTACGATTCATGGGCGACGATAATGAAGCAAAAAAGTTCAGCTACAGTTTGGAAGTGGGTGGCAATGGCCGTAAACTGATATGGCACGGAATTCCTAGGGGCATCCGTGACAGTCACCGAAAAGTCCGCGACAGTCAAGATGGTCTCATCATTCAAAGAAACCTGGCGCTGTATTTTTCGGGAGGGGAAAGGCAAGAGCTGAAGCTGAGAATCACGGGTCGAATATGGAAAGAAGAATGAATGAGATCGAGTGAGGGACGATGATCCACGGTGTTAAGGTGAATGTGTTACTGTACAGTT